CCAAAATAAAAATTCTTCACATTTAATAGTAAAATAAGATCTTTTAAGAATGACATGTAAAATGTTTCTTCCAATTTATGTGTACTATTTTTTCAAATAAGGAGCTCTGGTGGTATAATGGTTAGGTGCTTTCCTGCTAACTGAAAGCTCAGTGGTCTGAATCTACCAGCAGCTCCATGGGAGAAAGACCTGGTCATCTGCTCCCATAAGGATAACAGCCTAGGAAAACCTATGGGGCAGTTCTACTCTGTTATATAGGGTCGCTATGAGTCACAGTCAACTCAAAGGCACAAAACAACATTTTTTCAAATGACTACAAAGTTGTTAGGACATAAATATTTATTTAGTTGTGTGGACTTAACTAAATAAACAGAACCGATAAGAACTTCTTCTAGCCTAGGCATTACCTTGACAAATTTTCTGAGAAACTAAAGGTGCTATGAACTAGAAGTTTGAGGACCTCTGGCCTACACAGAAAACCTCTTGCCTACTTCTCTAGACTCGTTGATCACCACCTGATCACCACCTCTCAAATCCACACCCCGTCTCCTGAGGACAGAAGCTATTCTCCCCTCCTGGAATGGTTCCTCCCTACGCTGATGTCTAGGCATGTTCGAAATTCATTCTTTAAGACAGAGATTAAGCATTATCTCCAAGATGAAAAAAATAGATGTTCATATTCACTTTTTAAAAGGCAACAAAAACAATGCCTATCATCCTCAGCAGAGCGGTTTCTACCCGTTTCTCTTTTCTAAAGGTCAGAATCCTGACCATCAGGAGCTCCTCTCCAAGAGACACTGAGGGCTGAGAGACAAGTACAGGGAGGGAGCCAGGGAGCCAGGTCACAGCCCTGCTCTGCCAGTAACAAGCTTTGTGATCTTGGGCAAGGTTTTTTTCATTTATAAAATGATAAGCTAGGACTAGATGGTCCTCAAGACATTCCTCAACTCTCCAAGTCAATGCTCTTAATTAATAAAAAAGAAATATCTTCTACTGCTCTTTTAGAGGGAAAAAAAGTTTCAAAAACATTCTTTTAATATAGTCTTTCTTTTTGACATAATAACAACAAAATTAAATTGTAAAAATCTTATTTTGCAAGACATTTTAAAGTCTTACATGAAAGGACCAAAAAAAAAACCCAAACAGGTAAAGAGTTCTTGTCATCTTTTGTCACAATAGTAAGAAAGACAACTATTTGTAAAGAAATACATTCCTCTAAACTCTAAAACAAAAAGATTACTGATTACAGATATTTCTGAAAAATTCTGTATTTACCTCACTTTTTGTTTCCACTCTGGTCTTTTCCTTTGACCCAGAAGTTGGCATTTCCTTTGTATGTCCATCAGGAATGTATATCAAAATGCATGGGGCTTCTCTGCAACTATATGGGCTAAAAATAAGTGGCAGGGAAAAAAAAAAAATCACAGAATTATCTGAACAGTAATTAAAACTGAATTCCTAGATTAATTCAATGGTACTGAGTTAATGCTTTTCAAGCATTAAAACAAATAGCCCACTATTATTAGTAGTGAGTAAATAAATAGCACACTGTTACTATTCACAGGCTTTTTTCAGAGTAGTTTAAAAACAAATACATAAATAAAAACTGCCGGTCCTTCAATTACAAACTTCCAGTTTGTGAACTTTCATGGAGGTGAACAAGCAAACGCCAGGACAAAGGCACACCGACCCCTCCTGCCACCAGAAATGGCATCAGTGGATGCTAACGGCATCACTGGGAGTCCCTGCAGGCACAAACGATTAAGGCTCAAGTGCCAGCCGAGAGGGTGGTAGGTGAGATCCACCCAGAGGAGCCTTGGAAGACAACGACCTGCTTCCAAAAGGTCACAGCCTCGAAAACCCTATAGAGCAGCTCTCCTCTGCACACACGGGGTCGCCATGAGCTGGGATGGCCACTCAACACCAATGCCATCACCGTGGACTTAGGGGAAATGCATTTACTTGCCACACCTCAGCTGCTTACGTTGTTGTGTGCCACTGAATCAATTCTGACTCACAGTAACCCTACGGGACAGAGCAGAACTGCCA